CAGATTAGTCATTTTCTTGGTTCAGACAAGAAAGGGGAAAGTGTTGGAAGATTATTTTCTCATGAGGATCATCATCAGGTTTCAGATGATGGTGTTCTTGGTGGTGGTTCACCAACCAGAAAAAGAAGGCAAATCGAAGCCGATTCACAATGGAACAAGGTAAATTTTGGTTTGGTAGCATTAGGTTCAAAGGTACAATTGGTAAAGACTGAAAGCTTTTTGATGTGGCTTTGTGCTGAGATAAGTTAGTGTTGTTGAAATTGTTAGAAAGCTGTGGAGGAATTTCAAGAAGACCCTCAAAGGGGAAGTGATCAGAGCCAGAAGAAACATAAATCGGAGCAGAGTAAAGAGACAACGATGAACAAGGAGAGCTCACAGAGCGAAGAAGCACCGAAAGAAAACTACATTCATATGAGGGCAAGAAGAGGTCAAGCCACTAATAGTCACAGTCTTGCAGAAAGGGTAAGGACTCTTTTACCGATATCTTGTTTATGTGAATCTGCCAATCAATGGTGCTGAGAAGTGTCTATTGTTCGTTGTTTGAAGGTTAGAAGAGAAAAGATCAGTGAAAGGATGAGATTGCTTCAAGAGCTTGTTCCTGGATGTAACAAGGTATTAGACTTATAGGTGGCTTTTTAGCGGTTTAACTTCTCTTTGATTGCCAATAAAATGTTGCTGATGTATTCATTGTTGATAATTTGTTAAACTAGATCACGGGTAAAGCGGTTATGCTCGATGAAATCATCAACTATGTTCAGTCATTGCAACAGCAAGTTGAGGTAAGATTCTTGAAATGCTTTAGTTAGTTTTGTCATTGTATGGTCTGTAAGGGGTTTTGATTCTGATGTTTTTGTGTCACACTGCTTTATCTTTTCTTCAGTTTTTGTCTATGAAACTCGCGACAGTGAATCCGGAACTCAACATTGATATAGACGGGATTCTCGCCAAAGATGTAAGAAGCTCGAAATCCCACTATGAAATATTAGTGTGCAAGTTATGAATTAGTACTGATCCTGCATTTTCTCTGTTCAGCTTCTGCAATCAAGAGACCGAAACACTACTACGCTCGGCCTGAATCCTTATAGCGGTTTTCAAGGGACGATACCAAACATTTCTACTACCACAAATCCACATTACAACCCATTACCTCAGGCAAGCAACATATCATGTTTTTTGTTGATTTCATTTTTGTTATCAGGCAAGCAACAAATCCACAATGTTTGATACCACTTCAAATTTTCTTACACATCTTTTCCGTATCTCATCGTACAGACAACACTAGAGAGTGAACTACAGAACCTTTACCAAATGGGATTCGTCTCAAATCCATCGACTATGTCCAGCTTCTCACCTAATGGTAACGAAAGCTACACAAACTTCTCTCTCTTCTCCTTTCTTCTTGGTCTTTATTGATATGGTCTTCTTATCTTAGGCCGATTGAAACCAGAGCTTTAGTACTTGGAAGGATGATTTCAAGGAAAACTTGCAGAGAGTTTGTATAGAAGATGGCTTTGGATCTAAGTATCATATTTGTTCTTCCATGTTATTATTATTTTGTTTTTAAAAGCACAAGGATTTGGATTCTCAATTGTTGTTGTTTTTAGTTCTCAACGAAGAATGCATTTATTCAATATGGAAATCAGAATACATAGTTTTATGTTTAACCAAGTCCATAAACATAAAATGTTGAAAGAGTTGAAATGTATCATTCTCCAACACTAAAAACAAGGAAGGAACCACCGTTCATCGCTAACTCCAACCATGTCTCTTAAACGTTGAATCTTCTGCGTAAGAATCTCATAAGTACTGGCTTTCAGAAAAGACGATTCATAATCCCAAAAGTAGTCACAGCAATCCCAATAATAGTCACAGAAATCCCAAGCCAGCGCCTCCACCTCATCCAAGGAATTTACAATCTCCCAATCCTCATTAGTGCTATTCATCTTGTAGACTTTTAACTGGAATTTTTTATGAGATTGAGGCACGCGGCAGATCATCAGAACATCTCCGGACGTGGTTAGTCTCATTTTCGGCCTATCGTCCCAACTCCCGAACCTGAAACCTCGATTGAGGTATGGATGATTGAAGACCTCTCTTGGAAAGTCTTGAGAAAAGTCCAAGATCCTGATTCCACGACCATAGGCCGTAAGTATGTAAACCTTCTTGTCTTTGTAGACCATATGATCCACATACCGATAATCACCGGGTGTTATAGTCCACTCCTCGTCTCCTTTCACGCAAAAGCGTATGCAGTCACTACCCCTAGACCACCACACAACTAAGTAGTCTTTGGTTCTTTCGTCTACCCACAAAACCGCACTCTTCACTTCTGCCGACTGTCTTGATGCAAGGCCGTAATTAAAGTGGATCGGACAGTTGTCGAGTATCTTAAATTTCCCGTATGGTTTCAGAGGTGGGAGGTCAATGATAATCTCTAACGTGAAGGGGTTTACCATGTATAAATATATATTGTCTGTGACCAAGACCCAGTTCCCACAAGTCGCTACGCTACTACAGTCTGCAAAACCTAAGCGGCTAATCTGCGTTGTGTAAAACTTACCTTCTTCCGGATCAAACAGCTTCCAGTTCCTGTCTTGTTTGAAAATCAACCACGGTACATTGATTTTTCTAGGCGAGGATGATCTCGAAACAGAGTACCACGATGAGCAAACGGTCTTGGCTCGAGCAAAATCTGCGAAGCTCAAGCGATTGTAAACCAACGACAAGACGTCTGAGGTAAGTCCCGACCAACCCATGGCCATGGCCAATTTGATCTTGTATGCATAGGAGGCGTCACTAATAATTTATAGATACACAACTCACGACTAATTTAGGTTTAGCTTATACATGTGACTTCTTGTAAGAGCATGTGGTGATACCATGTGGGCCGTGTTCTAAAACACACCCTAGTCATTCGTCTAGGCGGCGCTAAACCCCTATAGATCGTGGCGATTACCGCTTTTGCCGTCTAAAATATTTGGTATTATTATAATAAAATACTATAATTTTTTTTATATATAAATAGTAAAATTTTATATATTTAGCTATTAAATGATGAATATAAATACAATATAAATTTTATTAGTTATAAATTATGGTTTTTATATATTTTATTATATATATCTAATATATTATGTATTTTTGTAAAACGTTTAAACCGCCTATTAAATCGCCTAGACTCCGATTAGGCGTTCTACGCACTAGGCATTGGGTCACCGCCCGCTTAGCGCCTAACGCTTCTTGAACATTGCATGTGGGTAT